CTTGGGCCTCTCCACGCCTCCTGGTAAACCACGGGGTCACTGTGGTCTTCCCGGTGCTTCAGTTGCCCCTTGGTACGAACTTCTCCACCGCCTCCCTGCACTTACTTGGAGTATACCTGGAGAGGGTTTCGGGAGTCAACGCCCCCGCGGATCGGTCTGAGACCAGGCCTCGTGGTGGATCAGGGTCTGAACAACTTGTGGCCAAGTGTTCCATTATTTTGATTACTGTGTTTCACTGTAGTTCTCTTACCCACAGCACATCATGCAGGGATTGTACCATACTTGTGTAGTTCTCTTACCCACAGCACATCATGCAGGGATTGTACCATACTTGTGTAGTTCTCTTACCCACAGCACATCATGCAGGGATTGTACCATACTTGTGTAGTTCTCTTACCCACAGCACATCATGCAGGGATTGTACCATACTTGTGTAGTTCTTACCCACAGCACATCATGCAGGGATTGTACCATACTTGTGTAGTTCTCTTACCCACAGCACATCATGCAGGGATTGTACCATACTTGTGTAGTTCTCTTACCCACAGCACATCATGCAGGGATTGTACCATACTTGTGTAGTTCTCTTACCCACAGCACATCATGCAGGGATTGTACCATACTTGTGTAGTTCTCTTACCCACAGCACATCATGCAGGGATTGTACCATACTTGTGTAGTTCTCTTACCCACAGCACATCATGCAGGGATTGTACCATACTTGTGTAGTTCTCTTACCCACAGCACATCATGCAGGGATTGTACCATACTTGTGTAGTTCTCTTACCCACAGCACATCATGCAGGGATTGTACCATACTTGTGTAGTTCTCTTACCCACAGCACATCATGCAGGGATTGTACCATACTTGTGTAGTTCTCTTACCCACAGCACATCATGCAGGGATTGTACCATACTTGTGTAGTTCTCTTACAGACAGCACATCATGCAGGGATTGTACCATACTTGTGTAGTTCTCTTACCCACAGCACATCATGCAGGGATTGTACCATACTTGTGTAGTTCTCTTACCCACAGCACATCATGCAGGGATTGTACCATACTTGTGTAGTTCTCTTACCCACAGCACATCATGCAGGGATTGTACCATACTTGTGTAGTTCTCTTACCCACAGCACATCATGCAGGGATTGTACCATACTTGTGTAGTTCTCTTACCACAGCACATCATGCAGGGATTGTACCATACTTGTGTAGTTCTCTTACCCACAGCACATCATGCAGGGATTGTACCATACTTGTGTAGTTCTCTTACCCACAGCACATCATGCAGGGATTGTACCATACTTGTGTAGTTCTCTTACCCAGCAAGCACATCATGCAGGGATTGTACCATACTTGTGTAGTTCTCTTACCCACAGCACATCATGCAGGGATTGTACCATACTTGTGTAGTTCTCTTACCCACACACATCATGCAGGGATTGTACCATACTTGTGTAGTTCTCTTACCACAGCACATCATGCAGGGATTGTACCATACTTGTGTAGTTCTCTTACCCACAGCACATCATGCAGGGATTGTACCATACTTGTGTAGTTCTCTTACCCACAGCACATCATGCAGGGATTGTACCATACTTGTGTAGTTCTCTTACCCACAGCACATCATGCAGGGATTGTACCATACTTGTGTAGTTCTCTTACCCACAGCACATCATGCAGGGATTGTACCATACTTGTGTAGTTCTCTTACCCACAGCACATCATGCAGGGATTGTACCATACTTGTGTAGTTCTCTTACCCACAGCACATCATGCAGGGATTGTACCATACTTGTGTAGTTCTCTTACCCACAGCACATCATGCAGGGATTGTACCATACTTGTGTAGTTCTCTTACCCACAGCACATCATGCAGGGATTGTACCATACTTGTGTAGTTCTCTTACCCACAGCACATCATGCAGGGATTGTACCATACTTGTGTAGTTCTCTTACCCACAGCACATCATGCAGGGATTGTACCATACTTGTGTAGTTCTTACCCACAGCACATCATGCAGGGATTGTACCATACTTGTGTAGTTCTCTTACCCACAGCACATCATGCAGGGATTGTACCATACTTGTGTACTTCTCTTACCCACAGCACATCATGCAGGGATTGTTCCATACTTGTGTAGTTCTTACCCACAGCACATCATGCAGGGATTGTACCATACTTGTGTAGTTCTTACCCACAGCACATCATGCAGGGATTGTACCATACTTGTGTAGTTCTCTTACCCACAGCACATCATGCAGGGATTGTACCATACTTGTGTAGTTCTCTTACCCACAGCACATCATGCAGGGATTGTACCATACTTGTGTAGTTCTCTTACCCACAGCACATCATGCAGGGATTGTACCATACTTGTGTAGTTCTCTTACCCACAGCATCATGCAGGGATTGTACCATACTTGTGTAGTTCTCTTACCCACAGCACATCATGCAGGGATTGTACCATACTTGTGTAGTTCTCTTACCCACAGCACATCATGCAGGGATTGTACCATACTTGTGTAGTTCTCTTACCCACAGCACATCATGCAGGGATTGTACCATACTTGTGTAGTTCTCTTACCCACAGCACATCATGCAGGGATTGTACCATACTTGTGTAGTTCTCTTACCCACAGCACATCATGCAGGGATTGTACCATACTTGTGTAGTTCTCTTACCCACAGCACATCATGCAGGGATTGTACCATACTTGTGTAGTTCTCTTACCCACAGCACATCATGCAGGGATTGTACCATACTTGTGTAGTTCTCTTACCCACAGCACATCATGCAGGGATTGTACCATACTTGTGTAGTTCTCTTACCCACAGCACATCATGCAGGGATTGTACCATACTTGTGTAGTTCTCTTACCCACAGCACATCATGCAGGGATTGTACCATACTTGTGTAGTTCTCTTACCCACAGCACATCATGCAGGGATTGTACCATACTTGTGTAATTCTCTTACCCACAGCACATCATGCAGGGATTGTACCATACTTGTGTAGTTCTCTTACCCACATCACATCATGCAGGGATTGTACCATACTTGTGTAGTTCTCTTACCCACAGCACATCATGCAGGGATTGTACCATACTTGTGTAGTTCTCTTACCCACAGCACATCATGCAGGGATTGTACCATACTTGTGTAGTTCTCTTACCCACAGCACATCATGCAGGATTGTACCATACTTGTGTAGTTCTCTTACCCACAGCACATCATGCAGGGATTGTACCATACTTGTGTAGTTCTCTTACCCACAGCACATCATGCAGGGATTGTACCATACTTGTGTAGTTCTCTTACCCACAGCACATCATGCAGGGATTGTACCATACTTGTGTAGTTCTCTTACCCACAGCACATCATGCAGGGATTGTACCATACTTGTGTAGTTCTCTTACCCACAGCACATCATGCAGGGATTGTACCATACTTGTGTAGTTTCTTTACCCACAGCACATCACGCAGGGTTTGTACCATACTTGTGTAGTTCTCTTACCCACAGCACTCACGCAGGGATTGTACCATACTTGTGTAGTTCTCTTACCCACAGCACATCATGCAGGGATTGTACCATACTTGTGTAGTTCTCTTACCCACAGCACATCATGCAGGGATTGTACCATACTTGTGTAGTTCTCTTACCCACAGCACATCACGCAGGGTTTGGCTTCTCCCTGACTTCCTCTGCTGCTTCACTCTCCATTGTTAACTCTACTGTGTATTCGATGTTCAGCAGGTAGTGTTCAGCAGGTAGTGTTCGTCAAGCAGTGTTCAGCAGATAGTGTTCAGCAGGTAGTGTTCGTCAAGCAGTGTTTCAGCAGGTAGTGTTCAGCAGGTAGTGTTCGTCAAGCAGTGTTCAGCAGATAGTGTTCAGCAGGTAGTGTTCGTCAAGCAGTGTTCAGCAGATAGTGTTCAGCAGGTAGTGTTCGTCAAGCAGTGTTCAGCAGATAGTGTTCAGCAGTTAGAGTTCAGCAGGTAGTGTTCAGCAGATAGTGTTCAGCAAGCAGTTTCCAGCAGGAAGTGTTCAGCAGGTAATGGTCAACAGGTAGTGTTCCGTAAGCAGTGTTT